AGTTGCGATTTTCTTTATGTAGTTGCACTTTGCTTTATGTAGTTGCGATTTTCTTAATGTAGTTGCGCTTTTAGATTTGTAGTTGCAGTTTGCACTTCAGGGCCACCGTAGAAAACAGATACATGTTATTGGTGCGGTTTAACATTGGAATGTAAAATATTTGATAATATACAATACGGATAAGTAGTGCATCAATAAATTTTGTAGCTACAGCCAATCTGTAATTATTCTTGGTTGTTATGTTTTTTGTTTTTGTGTTCTCACCATATCCTGGTTTAATAACACCTTTCTGTTTATAAGGTTTCCATAGTTCAATATATGTTAGATGTTACCTCATTAGTTTATTCATTTTTTTTCCTTATGAGCTCCACTTTTATTATTTACTCTCCTCCTCTGAGCTTCTTGCCTTTTCTCCCTGCTGCAGTTGCAACTCATCTCTGAAACCTGTCGTGTGTCTTCCTCTTCCTTCCCTACAGCACTGCTGGATTCTTCTCCTTTTTCTGTCGTTTTCCTGCTCATGCTTCATATCCTCTTCTTCTCAAGCAAGTCTTGTTTAGTAATCACTAAGTATTTTTTAGTCTCTTTCCCTTCTGTTTCTCTCTTCATTTTCTCATGCAAAATAAGTAGTTAAAATTTGTCTTATGGGTGACAAATGCAATCGACTTTAGTATATAGTCTACAAATTCATCATTTATTCATTTATTTGAAAAAAAAAAAAAGGGTGTCACTTATTGCTACATATGGTGAAGGAAAAAGAGCATTTGACCCAAACAGAGGAAGTTGGTTTCTGTGTTCTTTTAGTTCCTCAGAGGGAGAGTATGAGGAACTAAAATTACCCAGAATTAGCTCATCTCACTCCTTTTAGATTCTTTTAAACTTTCTTCATGTTCCTAACTCTAGACATTAAAGATGGTTTCTAGCTGTCAGGCATTGAAGCTGTTTAACATTCTTGGTAAGTAACCTCTGGGTGTTATTATGCTTTGGATTTAAAGTCTATTCAGTTGCCTTTACTTCTTTTCTGTGTTCATAACTTTAAAACAAAACAATCTAAATCTACATAAGGGTAGAAAAAAAAACGTCCTCTTCCGGGGAAAGATGGAACATACATTTTCTGAGGTACTTTGCAATATTTTGGACGACACTTAAAGTCGGTCAGAGCTTATCTACGTTTGCTCGGCTGTTTTTAACAAGTCAACAAGAAGTGCTTGCTCATATTTGTTGGTGGCAGAATTTTACTTGGTAAGAAAGACATTTTATGTTGTATATTTATGTTTGTTTTCAGTTGAAACTATAATGTTAGCTTCATATTTCTGCTTTTTTAGAAGTAATGAGTGGAAATGCTATGGAATTTATTTTGCTTTTCACAAAATGAGCTTGAAGCACAGGAACATTTTCTGAGGAGCAGAGTAGTTTTTTAATGAAATTGCAATAAATCTAAGTTTTGACTCTTTAATTTATCTCTGTGAGCTGATGGAGGGATGTAGGAGTGTGATGGCAGCCCTGTCTGAGAACATGTTGACCGTCAGCATGTTACTGAATGTCTTCTTCTTCTCAGGTGAGCTGTTTGATTTCTCATTTTCATTCGTAGACATTACTGGATCCATTTCTGGTCTGAAATATTGGATCCTGATCTTGTTTAAAGGCTCTTTGTGTAACAAGCTGTAGCTCAGCTGTAGTTTATTGATCAGGAATTTTATCTTTACGACCATTTTGATCCACATTGTGTTCATCTCTATTCTGTGTTTATAGGAGTTCAGACTGCCTGTGACAAGGCACCAGACCTCAACATTACTGCACCAGAGGAGATGGAAGCTCTGAGTGGATCCTGTTTGCTAATCCCATGTAGCTTTAGAGAGAAACCAGGAAAAAGTTTTGATGTTCAGAAAGAAACATTTGGAGTTTGGATAAAAAGTAATCCTGTGTTTAAAGTTAATAAATTTAATGTGATCTACAACAGCAGTAAGCCAAGGAACAGCTATAACATGAACATTACTGGAAACCTGAGAGAGAGGAACTGCACCACTGTATTTTTTAATGTAAACTCAAGTCAAACAGAGAAATACTTCTTCAGGGTTGAGAACAGGCGGTTCAAAGCAACAGCTTCCTGTGATCCTGTTCATATAACAGTTAGAGGTGAGAGCCTTTTGTTTTAATTTATCTCTAATGTTAATGTTGAGGAGAGAAAATGAATTCAGATGCATTTCTGCTCCACATGTGTTTAAAGTAGAGATTTTCTGGATCTCACTGTGTAAAATGTGTGTATGATGTGAAAGCACAGATTCAGCTTGGAGCCCCAGGATTGAAATCTCAGGTGATGTGAAGGAGAAGGACTCTGTCACCATAACGTGCTCAGCTCTC